TATTTTATATATCATGCAAAAAATATTTTTGCAAAGCAAATTTGTATCAAAATCTTAAGATTATTTGTACTAATTAAAATGGATGAGATATCCGTAAATATTCGTAAATATCCGCAAATATCTATTTATTTTCCGGATATCCGTTTTTCCGGATATCCGTATTTTTTCGAAGCAAAGCAAATACCAAAATTAGATATCCATAACATTCGAAGCAAATCACAAATATCTTAAAAAACCCGGATATCCGATCCGTGCCCACCCCTAGACTTAATAACCAATTTAAAATAAATATTATAGAATAAACGTTATTTATTCTCTATTCGAATTTTATCAGTCAAAAGAAAAAATATCAGCTGGATAGAGGCATAGAGCTGAACTCAGCTGAACAGTTTAAATTATTTCACTAATTTTGAGTGGAGTAAACTTTTTTTTCTATTTCTATGTTACTTTGAATTATACTATTAATATTAATATAACCAGTCACACCATTAGATGAAATAAAGTAACAAATGGAGGAAATAAAAGTCAACTCTAAGTCACCCATTGATTTTGAATTTCAGTGGGTAAAAACTAAAAATCAATAATGTTTGACCAATGACCAGGAACATGAACGCGTCAAGAATCTTTTATAGACGGGAAAGAACCGAACAGGTTCGCTACTACACACGTCTCGACAGATACCACTTGGGGTCCGGTTCGTCTAACTGTTGTTGCTGTGAGGCACGTGTGCGTATATACATCCGTTGATCCATGCATGAAACATCACGGGACCTTTTGTAAATTATTTTCTCCTCTGGAATCAATTATTCTATTTCAAAAGAGAAAATATTTTTTTTTTATAAATATTTTCATAAAAAAATACTACAACAATCCATAATAAATTAAAATACTTTATAGATATAGGAAAAATGTTAATCTCTACCTTAAATTTAGCATTTTCAAAGATATAAGTTAGCTTTTATTTTTAGTTTTATTTGCTTTTACAAGAAAATATGAAAAATAGAAGCATCTTTGGTTCAGTGGTTTAATTAAAAGTTAATTAATATATTTACATAAAAAAAAACTGACTTGCGAATCACAGAAAATGAAAAATTATGCAAACTGATAAAGAAAATACTTACAAGAGATTTGTAGCATGACACAATAAGTACTATCAAGCATGGATCAAAGTAGAGTGACTAAGGTGATGCAGTTAGATATGAATCCTCATAAGACTGATAAAATTATCAGCTGTAAATTTGTCTATAATATTTTTTATAGTTGGCATATTTATCCATCGTTAAAAACTAGGAATGAAATCAAATTATTAGGCATGGATAAAAAATCAGAACCGAAAACCAAACTGGAGTTGTTTTGAATAAATTCGTTCATTTTAATATAGTATTACTCACGAATATTAGGTTAGTTCCAGGTACCTGAATGACCTAAAAATGTTAAGTATTATAAATATAATTTTGGTATTTTAGGTATATATATGTTTTAATTTTTTTATCCAGTACTTTATTAGATTTTGTTTATATAATTGATGTTTCAAGTGTTTATAAGGTCTTTCACAGGTTTCTCAATTTTTGGGATTTTGAGTTAATATTTTAAAGTTTTCTAAGATTATTTCAATATTTGGGTAAACCAAACCATATGTAAAACTTATAAATTGATTTTCAGAAGTAAAAAAATGATCTGAATCGAACTGGAAGTCTATGCATATCAAAAATTCATTTACCTGAAAGATTTAGAATTCCCATCTTTCGATTATTACCCAAACATGATCTGAATATATGAATGCCTACACCTAATCATTGTTAAAGAGGATTTTCCATAGATTTATAAACATAAGTATAATACTACTCAATTAGAATAATCCAATAAAGTAAGTAAAATTTTTATGTTATAAATAATTATACCTAGGGGTGGATATTCGGTTCGGTTCGGATCCATTTAGGTTTTCAGGGTTTAAGATTTCAGCCTCATTCAGATATTTATAAATTCCGGTTTGGATTCGGTTCGGATAAAGTAAAACTCGTTCAATTTAGTTTAAAAATTTAAAATTCATATATACTTTAATTTTCTCAAAATCTAAAAAGAAAAATGATATATAACATATAAATTTTAGTAATGTTGTCAATATACTTAAATTAACATAAAACTTGGCTTTGCTTAAACAATGGGATAGAGAATCAATAGATAATTTTTGTGTCTTTTGAGTATTTTTAAGCTACTTAAGATATTTAATTTTAACTATTTATAAAAATTTAAAATATTTTGGACAGCTTCAAAAATATTTTATACATTTTAGATACATATTCTGAATATTAAATTCAAAATAGCTAATATATTCAAGTATATAAATCTGATTCAGATATATACAGATACCCAAAATATTTTGGTGGATCAGATAAGGTCTGAATTCTCTAGATATCACAATTTTGAACTGTTGGATATTTAATCATTTTTTCCGGATTCAGTTCTACTTTTTTGGATTGTATTCGGTTTGGTGTTTTGGGTTCAGATTGTTTCCAGTCCTAATTATACCAATAAAAAGTGAGATTTACATATGTAGATTATTCTCTACTTTTTGTTTCTCTCTCACTTTTCTCAGAGTAACTTTTGTGAAAACTATTAATAGTATTATTTAAGATTTGTACATTTTCACTAGCAAAACCAAAGATAAGGCTGCCATTTCATTTAAGAGTGATGAGGAAGAGAAGAAGAAAGGTATGATTAATAAAACTATATAACTCTGGAATAATAAAAAAAAAAAAAGTTATGGACCAAATTTAAAGTTTACAATTTGTAAAACAGTTTTAAGAACTCTAACGCCACTCAATTTTTCATTTCAAAATATACTTTAGAGTAAAAAATGCTTCAGTTGTACTATATTTTCTATTCTATAATAGATAAAAGAATTGAGTTTACTTCATAAATCGAGTAATTCATTTATTTTTTGTTTTTTACTCTAAAATGAAGTAAGACCATCTCCAATGAGGGGTTCTACGGCGGGGTTTTTAGCGGAATATAAGAACTTGTCTCTTAACTTTTAACTAAAAAAACTAAGAACCGTTTCTTAGTTTTTTTAGTTAAAAGTTAAGAGACTGATTCTTATATTCCGCTAAGAACTCCAC